CACAGAAAAGGTTGATAAACTTAAGTGCAAAAATAAAATACCACAAGCAAGTCAAAAGATGAAACTATGGAGAAAATCTGTAATTATATTAACAATATAATTTCACTTACACAGTTTTTCAACACACAGAGAGACCAACAATCAAGAGAAATAAAGGAGGAATTCACATGAAAGGATGAACAAATTTTTACTATCAGACTGGATAACAAAGTTCTGCTGGCAAAAATACAGGAAACAATCTTTTCAATACTGTTATCAGAAGGACAGAAAATCTTCATTTAACAGTATCAAATGAAGTCACTTGGTAGTATCAAAAATGTAAATAAATGTGCATGACTTCAGCAAAGCCAGTAACCACCCACCTCGTAATTTACATGGCTGCCTCTTTGCTATAGCACTGTCATAACAGAAAAAAATTGGTAACAATCCAAGCACTTACTAGTAGTGAACTTTTTATAAATTACAGTATTGAGTATAATGGGTTACCACACAAAATTTTTTTTTTTACAAAACATTATTTCTTTTTTTTTTATTAAAAAGTTTATTTTTACATCATTTTGCACATTTTTTTTTCCATCTCAATTGTAATCCCCGTGGGTTTCCCATCACCAAATCACCCCTGTGCCACCACCATAGTCCTGTGCATTTCCCTCCCTCCCCCTCCACCCCCCCGTTTTTGATCCCATTCCCCATTCCACCCCCACAGAATGTCTCTGGTATATGGTTGTTCATTATTTTTGTTATTTTCTCGCCTGGTCCATTATACTCCTGCTATGAGTGAAACCATCCGGTATTTTTCTTTCTTTTTCTGGCTTATCACTAAGCATGATCTTTTCCAGCTCCATCCAAGTTGCTGCAAAAGACATGTGTTTCTCTTTTTTGGTTGCTGAGTAATATTCCATTGTATATATGTACCACATCTTTCTAATCCAGTCATCTACTTTTGGGCATTTGGGCTGCTTCCATGTTTTTCCAATTGTAAATAAAGCAGCAATAAACATGGGGGTACAAGTATCTTTTTCAATCAGTGTTTTTGTGTCTTTTGGGTAGATACCTAGGAGTGGGATTGCTGGGTCACAGGGAAGCTCCATGTTTAGCAGTTTTAGGAACCTCCAAACAGTTTTCCATAGTGGTTGTACTAGTTTGCATTCCCACCAGCAATGAGTTCCTTTTTCTCCAACCACACAAAATTTTTAAAAAATTAACAAAAAAGTAATAAACCTTCCATGTATAGATAACTCAGAACAAAGTGCAAGAGGCAAATTACTACCACTTATGTAAAAAAATTGGGAAGAAGAAACTATATTTGTATTATATGTCTCTGGAAAGAAATCACATACACAAAACAGTTAATAGTTGCTGCTTACCTAGGGAAAGAATGATAGCAAAAGATCTGAAGTAAGAAAGGCTTTTCACCATTGAATATACTCTTATGTCATTTGTATTATGAACCACGTGAATTAACTGATTATTAAAAATTAAGGTTTTCAAACAGAAAGAAAACATGTAGCAGCTACAATTTTGTATACATGATTAAAGCTTATGTTTGTGATTGTCTGCTGTATTTTAAATGTAGAGCAAAATACAGATGAAAAAACCTAAATGTTTTTGATTCATATTATGAATAAAACTGACCAAAATAATTGTAAATAATGAAAACAAATACATAATAAATTGAGTGGTCACTCAGTAGTATTTACTCAATAAATTAATGATTAGATTATCTACTTCAAAAAATAGGTTATATCTTTCATACTGTAAATAATTTTGTGATAGAATTTCCTGATTCAAAATAAAATACAAATCACTACTAAAATGAAGGTGGGGAAGCTAAGAATTTTTTTTAAAGGTATAAAAAGGTAAGCCCACACTTAAAATAAAAATTGAGAAGTCAAATATTCTGACTTCTCACTTTTATGTACAGAAATTGATGTCTGATCATCCAAAACTGCAGAGCACATACTGAGATTATAGTTCCCTGAATCTAAGTTAGTCTGTGTGTGGTTTTGTTTTTATTTATAATTGCCTGGTGTAGGGTATTAACAATTGGATATCCACATTTCATAGAATACCTTGTTTATTTATTAATATGTCTGAAAAGGAAAGTTCAATTAAAATTGTTTTAGTTTGACTAGAAAATAGGTTTTTAAATAAGGGTTATTCTGAAAAATTCTGAGGTTAATGCCAATATCTTGCAAAATAAGGTAGTATTCAGAGACAGTTGTTCTGATCAGATGGCTTGAGAAATTTCTGGAATATTCACATTTGAAGATTTCTTATTACTAAATATATTTAACTTAAACCTACCCCAAAATGGCAACATTATTCTGTGTACATTTTCACAATATAGGGTTAACAAGTTCAGTCACAAACAAAATACTTTAGCTATTTATTTATTCTGCATTAATACTATGACAGCAATTATTAAATCTCCCTCCACAAATATAATCAAAGTTACAACTAAATGATATCCACATTTCTGACAGTTTTTCTGACCCTAATGTCAGGGGTTTTTCTTTTAAATTATTTTTCACTTTAAAATAAAAAATTTACCTTTTCATTTCTGAAATCATTAAAGCAATAAGAAAATAAAAACACTTAGATTTCCACAGAATGGATATTCAAAATTGGATTCAACCTCACACTTAACCTTTCCAGGATCTGAAAATTAAATTACTTGTTAAATAAAAGAACACACTCTAATTTAATGTCAATTTTTCAGGTCACTGAATATCTTTCATTAAGTGAGAAATTATCAATTAGATTCTCAACAGTAAGAATGGGGAGAGTTTTATTTAAAGACATAAACTTATACCAAAGAGAACACTATTATTAAAATTTTCTAGTCTAATGGAATCCTACTGAAACTGAGTAAGTTTCCCAACAACAAAATAATCTTTTAGATTTCCTCCTACACAAAAGTAAAATGATAATCCCAAGGGTAAGGACAGTCATAGTGGAAAATAATATTCAAAACACTGCTTCATCTCAAAGAATAAAAGATCTTCAAGGCAACTAAGAGGCCTCCTCTTCAAGTCTGTTTCTGGAATGTGGACAAGAACTATACACAGGCACACTCCTTCCCCAGGACATCCTGACTGCACACAATAGCCACTGACAACAATTGAATGAACTGTGGTCCCTATTTCTAAGCATGGAAATTTTACTATCTATAGACACAAATTTCCCTATCTATATCAAGTTAAATGGCACTTATAAACAATCTATTTAAAAACTAATCTGGTTACTAAGCACATTTTTAAAAAGTTACACTTCTCAGAAGCAATCCATTTTTCCCATTTAAAGCTATCTACATTTTTTTCAGTGCTTGAAATACAAAAACAAGATTCTCCCAAACATGATAAATCTATGTCAGAATGTTGGGGGTAGGGAAAGAAGACCTGTCTTTGACAAGAGTATACTTTTTCTTCCAGCCTCATCCTTTGACACTTGCTCTTTGATCTCTCTAGTTTTGAGTACTTCACCAATCTCATTATTTTCTTCATATCCAGACTTTTGGTACAAAAGCCTTGTATAGAACATACCTGTACCCTCACCTCACCATGCCAACCCAGTTAATGCCTACTGAACCTCTGAAACTGAGGACATGCTAGAGCTGCCTTTCCTTTCCTTACTCAACCACAGCAAGTCACCGTTTACATTGTTTGAATCTTTAATACCTATCAGTGACATTTAGTACTGATTTTAGAAGCTAGCACTTTTTTTTTTTTAAAGATTTATTTATTTGTGCATACAGAACTGGGGTACAGGCCAGAGGCGCAGGGCGGTGAGAGGATTCACCAGAGACAGAATGGGAAGCAGAACAGGCAGATCGATGAAGTACACTGCTGAGGGGAGCAGCAGGCGGGTCAGGAGAGGTCTGCCGCGCCATGTGGTCACCTTCCGGGCAGGCGGGGATCGAACTCATGTGGAAGTTGCTTTCGATTCCCAATGCTGTGCTTTAACCCGCTGCGCCACCAGGGAGGGCCAAAGCTAACACTTTTAACTTACTTTTCCAAATCATTTCCCTAGTTTTGTAGGTATTTCTCATGTCCCTTTGTCATTTCTCTGTTCCTGAAATCTCATACTTAGTCCTCTTACTCTACATTCTCCCAGTTGGTGTTATCCTCTTTTATCACAACTTACACATCAACAAATCTACTTCTTCATCTCCAAACTTCAGCTTAATCCCTCCCTATCATCGGTTGTATGTTTCAGCAAATGAACATCAATGCCCCTCTTCTGTAAGAACCATGTTCCACCTCTATCTCACCCAAGTCTCTGCCTTAGATCAGTCAACCCTTACCTAGTTCATTATTTCTAATCTCTTACTATACTCTCTCTTCAGACTCATCTCTTTTCAAAATCTCCCCCACCCTCTATCCTTCTTATACCCTACTGCACAAAATAATAGATTTGAACACTTTTGGGTGAGAACTCATTTTATCTGTGGATAATGTTCTAATTCTTGATTCTTTTAGCACATGTGTACTAATATGTTAAAATGTATGCATGTACACAGGTACATTTTTACACAGGTACATATGTACATACATGTACACATGATACTTAACAATTTTAATTTCATTTTTTCACTTTTTAAAATAACAAGTCTTTTTTTCCTCCATTTGGTCCTACCATTTAAATGAAGTCATTACATATGACTGACTACTTTCCAGCACCATCTTCATAAAACAAAGGTGTTTTTCTTTCAATACACTAATAACTCATTTCAAAAGAATGTGCCTATTTTTAAAAAAATTCACACTTTCACTTAATTTAACAATTTCATTTATTTCAAGTAGAGTGTTTCTCTCAACTAGAGAAGGAGAGAATTTTGGTCAGACTGTGGGAATATTTGAAATATTGAAGAATGTGTAAATCTTGTGGTACACACCATACCAAGGTCAGAACAGATGGTCCTAGTCAATATGGACCAAAATGTGTTATTTTTGTATTCTTTTTGTTTGTATCAACCCACTTTTATAGATTTTTCTTACCTTTCACTTTTGCAGTAAGCATTTCTGCAGCATTCTGAAGATCAACAGAATTCAGGTTCTGATGTTTATTCATAATAGACTTTAAAACACGGAGAAGTTCTTCCAGACGTATATGAATAACTTCTTTAAAACAGTCTTTAAAAAGGAGAAGAGAATTATTTAAAATGTTTTCAAATTTCAAAATCTAAACTATGAAAGACCATTCTGAAGCACATTTCAAGTGGAAGTACTAACTGTATAATTTCTGCCTACTAGATTTTCACCACAGCAACTACATACAATTTATGTATGTAGCTGGAAAAATCCTAAATTATTTTAATACATTTAATTAAGTATTTGATTCTCAGTAATGGTCAATTAATTCAGCACTACCTTTTTCAGTTTTTTAGTAACTTTGCTTTCCAGATTTCCCTGAGGCAACTTCATAAGTTAATAAGCTCTTTCTTGTCTTAAAAGTTATTATAACACACTTTTATCACACAGTAACAGTTAAAGTTCTATAAAATTAGCCAATATTAAAGGACACTCACAAGTTTCCACATTAGAATTCTTTAATTACCAAATAATGGAAATCAGGAACTCACAGGTGTATATGTAAGACCTATGACTTGACCCACCCATTTTTAAAATTGTGATGTGCCTTACATGTGAATAAAATGCATACCTTTATATAGCTCAATGAATTTTTGTGCTTTTTAGAAACTGTGAATTAGCTGCCAATGCTGAAAAATTGAGGGATTTTTTAAAAATTACAGATTTCAGACTATTCTTAAAACTCAAGTCCAGTTACAGCAAGTTTATCTCCTCTTGGCCACAGGAGGAACAGTAATGCAGACCTCTTAGGTGAGCATTTTTCCCTATCTCCACCTGTATACTGCCAGCCTGCTCTACTTCTTTACATGACCCCTGATCTGGGGATGCCAAAAGCTTTTAATGCCCCTGGAAATAGGGTAACCACAACATAATCTAAACAGAACATTGCAGCAAGTGAATTCATAGTCATGCTAGCACAACAGGTATATTCCAGGATTGCCATCCTGGGGAAACCAGAAATTGAAATCACAGTAACCTCTAAAGTGGGTCCTCCCTGGTGGTTCAACTGGTTAGGGCACAGCACTGCAAGCTAGCCACAGCTTGAGCTTCAGTGCATGTTTGATCCCCTGCCCCAGAGGTGA